GGAAAGTCTGTGAGACTCCTATCTCCAATTAACCAACAGAAAACGGGAAGTGGTGCTGTGGCTCAAGCAGTAGAGTACTCGCCTTGAGCTGAAGAGCTGAGGGACCGTGCCCAAGCCGAGTTCAAGCCTGAGATGGCCATTGACATCTTATTGTCAGGTACCCTCTGAAAACCTCAAGTTAGATGCTTCATGGAAAGCTTTACACAAGCACCCTCTAGAATTCCTGCTCTTTCCTAAGAGTGCTTCTGTTTTCAAGTTCTCCTGGACTTCAGCTCACCAGATCTGAGCCAATGTTTATCCAGCAGCTCACTGTTGAACCTGGATAGCATTGGAGACTGGGAAGAGGGAAGAGAGAAAGAAAGTTCATGGCTGAGTTCTCCCAGTGAACCTGGATACTGATGCATTGCCTCATCTCACTAGTCCCTCCTGAATCCCGCAGGTACCAGAAGCTTTATGCTTCTTTCTGTAGAGACTGGCAGAGACACTCCTGGGACTTTGCTCCCACTGTCTCCAAATCCGCCCAGCTGCCTCCACCTCCTGTATTGACATACAGTGTTTTCTAACTTAAAGTTGGACCAACTGTATCACCTAGTGTTTTCTGACCCTTTTATTTGTTTTCCCCAAGTTTAAAAACCAACGTCCTAAAGTTCCTCAGGTTCCTCCCAAGTGGTGCTTGTGCACAGTGGTTTCTTGTAGTAGAAAGTGGAAAATACAATCTCATTCCTAGGCCTGGCCTCCTTTGCTTCCCACCCTGTGCTCAGCTTGTCAAGAGCTATCCCAGTGAGATCTGACATGTGGCCTGAGAGCAGCTTCAGGGATCAGAGGAGGGACAGACAGTGGCTTGACAGAGCTCCCTTTACCCTCTTTACACACAAAACTGATTGTGTAGTCCACTGCATTTTTTTTTTTGTCATGGGGCTTGAATTCTGGGCCTGGGTATTGTCCCCCAGCTCTTTAGCTCATGGCTAGCACTCTACCACTTGATCTACTGCACCACTTCAGGTTTTCTGAGTGGTTTATTGGAGATAAGTCTCACAGACTTTCCTGCCTGGGCTGGCTTTGAACCGTGATCCTCAGATCTTAGCCTTCTGAGTAGCTAGGATTACAGGAGTGAGCCACATACACTTGGCTTCCACTGCATTTTTATCTCCTGAAATACAACTCCCTCGGCCTTGTGCAGGTGGTTTTCACAAGGCCCAGGTTGGCCATTTTGCATGTGTTTTGCCTTCTCTTTTATGATCTGTGCTGGCTTCATCCTCAGAAAATATAAGTCTAGGTGACATAAATCTGAGGGGTCCGAGGTAAATAGTTCAACTTTTGTATCCGGCCTCAGGGGACAGAGAGGAGGCTGAGATGGAATCTTGTCTTCAGGGAACTTTTCATCTTGTGAGAGATGTATTTCAGATATTTACATGGTGTCTGATGAGGGTGTGGAACAGTTTAAATCAGCTAAGGCTTGGGCTAAGCAAGTGTCTTGCCATACCCTGAAGTGAACTCTTATATGCCACACCACACCCAGAGGCTTGGTTCTTCTCACCTCCATGGCCTGATCCCTGAGCTCAGTACCTGACACATGGGAGATACCTGCTTAGTATTGGTCGAACTGACAGCACAAGTGGAAAGCAAGAGGAAGTGTGGGAGAAAGAAAAGAGAGAGAAAAAAAAAGGCCTGAGGCTTAAGACTAGAATATGACTCTTAAATAAAATTACCTCTCCTGTACTTTTGCACTCAAGCTGATGAGCACATGGTAAGTCTTGAGTTTAGCCAGCTATGGTGGTTCACACCTATAGTCCCAAGTGGGAGATTAAGGCAGCAGGAAGAAGGGTTCCAGGCCAGCCTTGGGCCTTGTAGCCAAACCCCTGTTTTCTGACATGCATATGTAATATTTACCCCAGATACATGCTGGTCTGGGGCTCTGTTTTGGCTCCTGAAAGAGCTGGTATATAACCACATCGTGAGCCCTTACAGGAGGACATGTTGTCCACCAGGTGAGGGTGGGGAGTGACTATATTGTGTGCATGTGTGTGTGCATGTTGGAACTGGAGCTTGAACTCAGGGCCTCACTCGCTTGCTTAGCTTTTTCACTCAAGGCTGGTGCTCTGCCACTTGAACCACACCTTCACTTCCAGCTTCTTGCTGGCTATTTGTTCAGGCTAGTTTTGAACTATGATCCTGAGAACTCAGCCTCTTGAGTAGCCAAGATTAAAGCTACCAATGCCAGTGTAACCTTGTTTCTTAGCCTGATAAGTACCACACAGAAAAAGCTGACTTTCCCAGAAAAAGCTCAGGCTACCACAAGAAATGATCATGACATTAGATGTCAGGGAGAAAGGGCTTCTTTGGATAGGGATGTGTCCTTAGGCAGATAAAACAGAGCTCGTTAAATACTCATCAGTACTTACTTATCAATAAGTAAGCTCGGTAATACTGGTCATCACCCAGGCTTCCTGCACACCAGGCACAAAGGGAGAGTCCAGCTGCTGCCCATGTGGCTAGGAGAAAACAAAGATGAAAGCATCACCAAGAATATAAAGCTGTCTGCTGCTGGGCCTCATTGTGTGGTTATGGAGGCTGATGGTGGGCAAGGCTCATATGCTAGCCACATGTGAGGGATAGTAGGTGTCCAAGCTCAGAAGAGGGGTTCTGGGAACAGGAGATGAGAAGCAGAAAACAGTGACTGTTACAGTCACTTTGATATCATCACAGAGCTCCTACCCCAGGCCAGGGCTGGAAAGCAATCAGGCAGACCTCAGAAGAGCTGCCTGTCTTTTATTGGGGGGGGGGATCCGGTCATGGGGCCTGAACTCTGAGCCTGGTCACTGTCCCTCAGCTCTTCAGCTCACAGCTAGCTCTCTACCACTTGAGCCACAGCGCCACTTCTGGCTTTTTTCTTTTTGCTTATGTGGTGCTGAGGAATCAAACCCAGGGCCTCATGCATGCAAGGCAAGCGCTCTACCACTGAGCCACCTTCCCAGCCCCGAGGCTACCTGTCTTGACTGTTGCCTTCTGTCAACCCCCTTCTGGGGCCAAGGCTAACTGGACCATCTTTCCCCCTGGCCTCCAGCAATATTTCAGGTAGATTTCCCTGCTAGGATTTATTGTGAGTTTTCAATCCAAGACACCCAGAACCTTGTCATCATAAGAAAAGGAATATTAGCCTTTAGTGTGTTTCTTTCTGGGTTAGAGCAGTAGATGCCAGGTGCTGGGCATAAGTAGACAAAGCTCAGGTGGAGTTTGATATTAAAAACCCACTGTTAGTGGCCTGGCCTTCCCAGAATGTGTCAGGTTTTTTTGTTTTTTTTTTAAGGTGAGTGCAGCTGTCAAGGCTTGGAAGGAGTTCCTTAACTGTTCAACAGAACATGATCAACATGGGGCTGAAGATGCATATTCCCAAATTGAGTCCCATTTGTAGAGTAGTACAGCAACCAGGGCTCACATGGTAGGCAATACCTCATCAGAGCCTTAGAGCAGCACATATGGTCGGTGAGCTCAGGGGTAGAGTCTATGTCTAGGTAGTCTGTACGCTATTTTCAGGGATCAGTGTTCCCTTTGATCCCTTCCCTAATTGAAGCCTCAGACCGGACATCTTTGTGGCTACTGCCAAGTTCTGAGCAGAAGAGCGCAGTACAAGGGTCTTTGTGGAATATGCAGTCCATGGCTTACCTTGGGAGAAAAGCATTGCATTTTAACTGTATTTCATAGACAATGAATATTTATGCATTGATGTCTTTATTTACCTATCATTGCAAAAGTGTGTGCTCCTGTGCTCTAAGGAGTAGGAAATAGCATTTATTGAGTTCTATATCTTCAATTCTTCATCTCTGAGATGCCTCTCATTTTACAAATGAAGAAGCGAGGTGTGAGCACTTAAGCCTACCATGGTTGGAATTTGGATCTACCTCCCTAGGTTCTAAATGGTTCTGCTTTGCCTTCTTCATACCCTTCCTCAGTGGATTTTATACCCAGCTCCTGTCTGTTTTATGAGAGGGGCTTTTGTGGCTCTTCAGAGGTCAGACTATTCCTGAAGCAATTCTTTTGTGTGCTATCTTAAAATTGCAAGATGAGGAAGCACTCTTGAGTACTGACCCCTGGAGAGGCAATTTGGCACATGAGATTCCTCAGGAAAAAACATCCAGAAGCTTTTCTGGAACCACCCTGCTGCCTTGCTGTTCAGCCTCTCAAAGGTCTTGTGTATGGAAGGAACTAATTTCCCCCCAGGCTTCAATCTAGTCCCTTCCACATGGATGCCCACTAGCCCTTGGAAAGCACTTCTGTTTTCAAGTTTGAGAGGGTGAAGATCCTCTAATCCTGTGAGGGTCACTATGAGCCTGTGGGGCTCACCTACATAGTGGGGGGGTGGGGGGGGGCGCGGCGGGCACATTTGGAGAATCACTTTGCCAGGATTTTCCAGAATTCACCATGTTCACCTTTGCTTGTCCCACAGGGCTGGGTGCTGGCTGCAGCTTCTCAATCCACCCCTGCCCTGCAGGCTCACTTAGACAGTGACCCTCACAGGATTTGGAGGATCTCCACCCTCTTGAACTTGAAAACAGAAGCACTTTCCAAGGGCTCAGGGGCACCCAGGTGGAAGTGACTAGATTGAAGCCTAGGGGAAATTGCCCTTCAGTGCTGGGTGCTGGTGGTACACGCCTATAATTCTAATTACTCAGGAGGCTGGGATTTGAGGATTGTAGTTCAAAGCAAGCCTGGGCATGAGACACATATCTCCCTCCACGTAACCACCAGACAACCAGAGCTCTATCTAGCCTTGAGCTTTGGAAACATTAAGGCCCTGAATTCAAGCCCCAGTACCACCAAGAAAAAAAAAGAAAGAGAAAAAAATCACTACTCTGCTTTTACTTTTATGAGCAGTATTAAACAAAGAGATGGCTACGTGCAGCATGAAGTAGGGTCAGTACTTGGCTTCTGAGTAAAGTCAGAGAGGTGTTGGTCCTTCTTTTAGGGCACATAGGACTCACCGGGGAAACCCTGTGTTTCAGGTGGTGAGGGCTGCCGAGGAGGCTGCATCCACGCTGGCCAGCTCCATTCACCCAGAGCAGTGCATCAAAGTGCTCTGCCCCATCATCCAGACAGCTGACTACCCCATCAACCTGGCTGCCATCAAGATGCAGACCAAAGTTGTGGAAAGGATCGCCAAGGAGTCCTTGCTGCAGCTCCTTGCAGACATTATCCCGGGCTTGCTGCAGGTGAGCATCATCCCTCTGGGGTTGGTTGAGGATTGACTCAGGGGCTACTCAACTTGACATCACAAGCAGCTGCACCAGTAGGTGGGAAAGGCGCCTGGGGGACCTTGTCCTTAGGATCTGTGTCTTCTCAGTTGCTGCAGGAAATTCCTGGCTGCCTAGAGCTCTGGCTCACAGAATGAACTTTCTGTTTAGTGTAAACATTTTGATCATTGCTTTGTGTTTATTTCTTCAACACACCCTTACTGCCGACTCTCCTGCAGTCCCTGCCCTGGGCCAGGAGGCCACAAAGTGGAAATCCCTAGTGAAGCTCTTACGCATGAGACAGTGAGTTAGACAGGTGTTACAGTCAGGTGAGCTCTAGAACGGCACTGCCTCAAGGGCTTTCCAGCCTGCTCGAGGACACTACATAGTCTCACAGCAACCAAGTGACCGTGCTGTGTGCTACATTGCAGAAGTCACTGCCAGTTTGGATGGGGATGGCAGGGGCTTCAGTGGGGGAGAGAGGTCTTGCTTTCCATTGAATACATGCTATTGTTTGCTGGGCACATGGCAGGGGATTACAGACTTACTATTGAGGGCTGATTTGTTCTGGAGTGTGAGAGGCACCAAGGCTGCAACGTTGTGTTTGGAGACTAGGATCACCTTTAGGGATGGGCTGGGAGGAGCCAAAGGCCCCAATAATCATTGGAGGGGAAAGTTTTTTCTTTTTTCTTTTTTTCTATTTTTTGGTCAGTCCTGGGGGCTGAACTCTGGGCCTAGGGGCTGAACTCTAGGCCTGGGTGCTGTCCCTCAGCTCTTCAGCTCAAGGCTAGCGCCCTACCACTTGAGCCCCACAGCACCACTTCCAGCTTTTTTCTGCTTATGTGGTGCTGAGGAATCAAACCCAGGGCCTCATGCATGCAAGGCAAGCGCTCCACCATTGAGCCACCTTCCCAGCCCTGTTGGTTTTTTTGTTTTTGTTTTTCAATTTTTTTGTTATTATAAAGGTGATCTACTGAGTGGTTATAGTTACATAAGTCAGGTAATAAGTAAATTTCTTTTTGGACAAGAGAGTGTTTTTCTTTAAAGACATTTTCTTTTTTCTTATTTTGGTGGTACTAGGGCTGAAACTCAGGGCCATTATGCTTTCTTGGCAGCTGTTCTACGTCTTAGCCATACTGTAGCCCTTTGTATTGCTTTAGTTCTCTTTTAGTTCTTTTTGCTGAGGGAAGACCTCAGACCGTAGTCCACCTGCCTATATGTACAGTAGCTAGGGTATTGGCATACCTAGCCATACCTCCCTTGTCAGTCACTAACTTCTTGCCCAGCTGGCCTCAACCTGTGATCCACCCAGTCTCTGCCTCCCTGAGATTGCAAGTGTGGACACCGTGCTCAGCTAAAGGCATTTTCAGACAGGAAGTTTGCTTTACCATTGGGAGAAATGTGGATGAAACCAGTTATTTTTTGCTTTCATTTCCTTGGCTCATTTCACCTCTCTTCTTCTGTCTTTGGGCTGACTACCTGTTGCAGAGCTGTGCCTGTGTGCAAGCAGGCCTGCCTGGCCCTTAGCACCTCCTGCCACCACACCCCAGGAACCAAGTCACTTTTGACACGAGTCTGGGGTCAGTTTCAGGTCTGAGACATAGGTGGCTGTTACAGACAAGTCCAAGGTTGAAGCTGGAGGGCATTTGTGGAAGTGTTACTGGAACCTTGGCTGCAAGGCAAGGCTTTGATCTGCTTTCTTTTTGTGTCCCCTTCGGCTCTCTAGGGTTATGACAACACCGAAAGCAGTGTGCGTAAGGCCAGCGTGTTTTGCTTAGTGGCGATTTATTCCGTAATCGGAGAAGATCTGAAACCTCACCTCGCACAGCTCACAGGGAGCAAGGTGTGTATAATGTTACCTGCTGGTGACACACCTGGGCCCTGCCAGCTTGTCATGAGCCTTTTGTGGCTGCTCTGGGCTCCACACAGGATTTTCTCATCAGGTGTGTTATAACTAGACCTTAGGTTTCCAAGAGCATTTTTCTGCGGTGAAAATGACCAGTTATGTAGGGAAGTCATTTTAAAGTGGTACTAACATGATGTACCAAGGTTCATTTCAATTCTATTCTTGAAAAGGCAACTTTGTCTCTACTTTATTCACAGTAGAAAGACAACTTTGTGTAGAATCACTGAGGAACTTTACCTAAGCACTTAACAAATCACTGAATCAGAACTAAGTCTCTTCTAGACATCAGCAGTAGGAAGAACTGTCCGCTGTGCCCACCATGGCCCTTGCCATGCACTGAATTGCAATGATCAGCATGGCTGTCCCCTCCAGCCTGCCTAAGAGCACAAAGATATTGCCTCCAGGAACTGAGTTCTGACTCTGCTGCTTCTCATGCACACAAGAGAAAAAAATGGGTCAAAAGGACAATGAGTCCATCAAAGATGAGAGTAGTTGAGTGCTTTATGGTAAAAGTTTCTTTAACACACACACACACACACACACACACACACACACGCACGCGCGCGCGCGCACACATACACACACAAACACACACACACACACACATGACAAAAGCCAAGCATCAGAGAGTAGTTGAGTGCTTGCTTTATGGTTAAAAGTTTCTTTAACACACACACACACACACACACACACACACACACACACACACACACACACACACACACACACACACACACACACACACACACACACACACACACACACACACACGACAAAAGCTAAGCACCAGAGGCTCATGCCTGTAATGAGCTGCCATTCAGGAAGCTGAGATCTGAAGATTGTGGTTCTGGGCCATCCATCCTGGGCAGGAAAGTCCATGAAACTCTTGTCTCCAATTAAGCACCATAAACACTGGATATGGAGCTGTGGCTCAAGTGGTAGAGCACTAGCCTTGAGCAGCAAAGCTCAGGGACAGTGCCAGGGCCCTGACTTCAAGACCTAGGACACACACACACACACACACACACACACACCAAAAAACACAGATCATACATGCTAGAGCAGGTAAGCATGAGAAGAGGCATGAACTGGAGACAGGGTCTTGACTTCAGAGAGGAGACTGGGTGGACTTTGGGAATCTGGACTTTGTCATAAGAAGCACCCTCACACCCCCCACCCCCGGGGAGGGGGAGGGGATGAGGGGATGGTCACCTATGTAAAAGCTTGTCTGCTTGAGTTGAAAAATTCCTGGGCCAAGATATAGGAACAACTCTCTATAGAGCGAAGCTATTGGGGAGCACCCCACCCCTGTTCCTTCTGAGAGAAGAAATTGGCTAATGGTGCTTAATTCAGCTCAAATGAAGTTGCTTATCTCACACAACTAGGGGTGAGTTTCTCCAGAGTTTTGGACAAACTGCTGCGCCTGTATCCCATATTGGATTTCACTCCATACACACTGGTGTCTGTTACCTCTCCTGTACTGTTAGAGGTTTCACTGACAGCAGCCCTGAATGCCACCATCTAAAGACCAATAGTACTAATTTCTTCTCTACACACGACCAGATGTCCCCTGAAAGACAAAATTATTTTTCATAGTGTTATAGGCAAAACTGTGTATGTAGAACTGGCAAGAAGATTGGAGAGATGTGGATGCATCATTTAGGGGCTCCATTACCTGATTCCAGTTTGCAGTTTCACCCTATGCCCCTCCTCATCAAATCCTTTCCTAACCACCAAATGAGAAATACTAGTGAGTGAAAGTTGCCCAGCCCTCTGTGGGGCCTAAATGCCTCCTCACTCCAACTTCCATCAGCAATTCACAGATGGTCTAGCCATAATGGGTGGGGACTTGGACGATAAAATTTATCTAGTAAATAGACGTTTAACAGATGTGTGGTTTGCACACATTTTTTCTCATTCTTTGAGTTGCCACTTAATCTGTTAATAGTGTCTTGGTGCACAATTTTTAAAATTCTTGGAAGTCCACTTTATTTTTTTCTCTTGTTGCCTGTGTCCAATTCAAGAAATCAATGCCAAGTCGACTATTTAGAAGCTTTTGTCTTTTTTTCCTCTAAGAGTTTTATATTGTAAGCTCTTACATACAGGTGATCCATTTGGGATTGTGTTTTGTACATGCTGTTATATAAGAATTGGCCTTCATCTTTTTGCATGAGCATATCTGTTCCCCAGCATCCTTTATCCAAAAGATTATCCTCTCCCCTTTAATGCTCGTGGCATGTCTTAAGTCATTTGGCCTTCTGGAGAGGACTTATATATGGGCTCTCTATTCTATCTGTTGATCTATATATGATTATGCCCATATATTATACCCATACTGTTTGGTTTTATAGTATAAGTTGGATCTCTTGAGATTCCTTACAAATCCAAAATTGATTGGTTAATTTTAGCAAAACTTTCATTGGTTTTGTGTGTGTGCATGCACGCATATATACGCACACACACACCAGCACTGGAGCTTGAACTTGGGAGACTCTTGCTTGGTCTTTTTGCTCAAGACTGATATCCTACTACTTGGACCACAGCTCCACTTCTGGCTTTTTGCAAATTAATTGGAGATAAGCATTTAATGGACTTCTCTGCCCTGGCTGGCTTCAAACTGTGATCTTCAGATCTTAGTCTCCTGAGTACCGAGGACTATAGTTGTGCCACCAATGCCTGGTTTCATTGGAATTTTTGTTTGAGTTGTATTGAATGCATCTCTTTAGGTGGTAAAACTACTTACTATATCATGATATAACTCTTCCAGTCTATAAATACGGGATGTTTCTCTTTTTACTTGTTTCATCTTTAATTTCTTCTAGCAGCATTCTATACTTTTAATCAAATGAATCTTTTTCCTCTTTAATTTCTGTGTTTTATTCTTTTTGATGATGTCATATCTGACTTACGATGTCAAACATGAATTCTTTTCATAATTTACTTTTGATTTTTTCTTTTGCTATTTTTGTTTAGTTGTTTGTTTTTCCTGAGCTGGCAAAAAAAAAAAAAAATGCTACTCATACTGTGCCACTGAGCTATAACCCTCACCTTGCATGTAGTTTTGCTTGTTAATTTTTTTTTCATCTTCTTTGTTGAATTCACTTCTAACAGCTTTAACAGGTATGTGTGTATGTAATCTTCAGGAATTTTTGTATAAGATGATATCTACAAATGAAAGTAATTTTAGTTCTTTCCATATTTATACACTTTTCCCCCTTGAATAATTGCTCTGGCTAGAGGATCTAATAATACATAAAGCAGTGAAAGCAGGAGCCTGTACACGGTTCCTGTTCCTGATCTTAGAAAAGTTTTAATCTTTCTCCTATGATTTTTGTTATGAGGTGAATGTGTTGGATTTTTTCCTTAAATTTGTTGACATCATATATTATGTTGATTTTTATAAGATGAACCATCCTTGCATTCCAGGAATAAATCTAACTTGGTCATTATGTATATTTTTAATTTGCTACTAGATTCCATGTAGTAGTGTTTTATTAAGAATTTTTACAGGGCTGGGAAGGTGGCTCAGTGGTAGAGCGCTTGCCTTGCATGCCTGAGGCCCTGGGTTCAATTCCTCAGCACCACATAAGCAAAAAGAAAAAAGCCAGAAGTGGCACTGTGGCTCAAGTGGTAGAGCACTATCCTTGAGCTGAAGAGCTGAGGGACAGCGCCCAGGCCCAGAGTTCAGCTCCCACGACCGGACCCAAAAAAAAAAAGAATTTTTACATTAGTGTTTATAAGATATATATATAGATATATAGCTATATATAGATATATATCTTTTATATATATGTGCTATATGGGGGGGGGGGGGGGTAATAGAATGTTCCAGTGATGGCTCTCGGGTTTTGGCAACAAGATAGAATAAGTTGAAAAGTATTCTCTCTTCAGTATCTTGAAAAAATTTTTAGAAGAATTGGCATTCTCTAAATGCTTGGTAGAATTTACCAGTGAAACTTGTATCAAGTTCTGGCTTTTCTTTGTGAGATTTTTGATTGCTGATTCAGCCTCCTTCTTAATTACAGGTCTATTCAGATTTTGTCTTTCTTTGTAATTCTAACTTGATTTTTATTCCTAGAAATTTGTCCATTTCATCTGAGTTATCCAGTTATAAGCATACAGATGTTCATAGAACCCTCTTACAATCCTTTTTATTTCCGTAGAATCCATGACAATAGTGTCCCACATTTATTTCTGATTTTAGTAATTTGAAATCTCTTCTTTTTCTGAGTCCATCTAGTTAAAGATTTGTCGATTTTTGTTGATCCTTTTTAAAAAAGTGAACTTTCAAGTTCATTAATTTTCTATTATTGTTTTTACTTTCTATTTCTTTATTCTAGGGTTTAGTTCTTCTTTCTCTTTTTTCTATTCCCCCCCCCCCCCCCCTCTGGGTCTAGGCTCTGAGCTTTTTTTGCTCAAGGCTGGCATTCTACCACGTGAGCCACCATGCCACTTTGGGCTTTTTCTGAGTAGTTTATTAAATATCAGACTCTCACAGGCATTTCTGCCCAGGCTTCAAACCACAATCCTCAGATCTCAGCCTCTTGAGCAGCTAGGATTACAGGTGTGAACCACCAGAACCCAGCTAATTATTTATTTCTTTTCTAATTTCTTCAAAAATAAAATGGGGAAATGAGGCCAAGCTGGGCTGGGCAGTCAGGGGCTGGCAGGATATGGAAGAGGAGGAGGACGAGGAGTGAGCTGAGGAAGAGATAGGGTGGGCTACTCACTTGGGGGCAGTTGATCCTCTGAACAAGGAATTACAGAAGGAGCTTTGAAAGCATCTTCATTGCTCTTTTTTTTTTTTTTTTAATCAGTCATGAGCTTGAACTCAGGGCCTGAACACTGTCTGAGAGCTCTTTTGCTCAAGGCTAGCACTCTACACTTGAGCCACAGCTTCACTTCAGTTTTTTCTGAGTAGTTTATTGGAGATAAGTGTCTCAGAGACTTTCCTGCCTAGGCTGACTTTGAATCATGATCCTCAGATCTCAGCCTCCTGAGTAGCTAGGATTATAGGTGTGAGCCACCAGAGGCTGGCCATTGCTCTTGATTCTAAAAATAATTTGCCAGTGTCACATAACTAGCTAGTGGTAGAACTGATTCTAGATCTCCATTCAGTCTGTTGAGCTTAATTAAGCATTAAGGCCATGTGAGTAGTGACAATTGTCATCATAGCTCTGTCCACTGTGGTATATAGTTGAGATTCTAAACAAAAAGGAAGCATTGTTGTATAGCAGGTATTAGAGTGAATGGTTGGCATGTGCATGGAGCAGGAGTCTCTCCCCAGCACTGCCCAAAAAAATAAGAGATGAGTTCTGTGAAGCACTGGACTACAGTAGAAAGAGGAAGACACCACCACAGGCTTCCAGTGGGCAGCTAGGTAGCATTCGCTGCAGACTCCATTTGCGCAGCATGGCACAGCAGAGCTGTGTGTTCCACCCTCTACATATATGGTACCAACAGCTGGGACAGTGTGTGGAAGATCCTGTAAGGGAGACAAATGAGGACACCAAACTTCTACCTTGCTTCAGAGGGTTGCTGCTCCACTGCCTACACTTTGTTGGGGAGAGATGCTGCCATTGTGAGGCCTGTGTTGTGTGGTAGTGTTATTCTGCAATACTGTGTCTAGCCTCACCTCCTCCCTGTCCGTGGCCCCAGCTACTGCAGATTACCCTGCCAAGCAGTGACACGGGGTGACTGTGCCATGCAGCCCAGCCAGGGGACTAAGACAGAGTTGTTTCTGGTTGTCACCATGGTAGTGGTGTCCCCCTCATTTTCTCCCATTGCTTATCCTCCACCCCACTCATTTTTGTATTCTTTCTGCAGATGAAGCTTCTAAATTTATATATAAAGAGAGCCCAGACTACCAACAGCAACAGCAGCTCCTCCTCCGATGTGTCCACACACAGCTAGTGGCAGCGCCATGGCATCTGCAGACCCGATGTGATCGGTGGTGCCTTGGAGACCCCCCATCCACCGCCCGGTCAGTGCGAGGAGGCCGCACGTATTTATTACAATCAGTATTTTGGTCCCTTCCAGCTTTTGTGTAGAATCTTACTGGTATTGAATGTAACGGAAACAAGGCCTGTGTCACAGTCTTCATAGAAACAGGAGTGAGAAACGAAGAGCCATACTTACACGTCTTGTACCGCCTGCTGAGATCACGGACCATGTGTGTGGGGTGCAGTTCCAGGACCCCAGAGCGCTCTAGCTGTACCTGGTAGACAGTAGCTTTTTGATTTTTCTTTTTTTGGTTAATTACAGCTTTGGGAATGGGACAGGTATTCCTTTGTGTTACCCATTCTTAGCTTATATGTGGCCTGAGGAGGCCACACCCCACCCCTTCCCCAGCCCATTCACAGGAAGTGTATTTGTTTAGCTTGTGCTTGGAGACCTTCTGAAAGTAGGATGCTATAATTCAACCAGGAGCAATCCTGAAGCTGGCCTCCTAACACACATGGAATTTGCTTCTTATAGACAGGAGTGGGCGGCTTCAGTGTAGTCAGGAATGCTCCTAGTCTCCTCTCAGCCCCCTCTGATATCTCCACAAATGGATCCCTACCCCAGACCTGCCATTGGAAAGAATTCTAGATGTTTCTGTCCAGATTCAAATGTAAGAGTAATATATAGCATTACTTAGGAATAGCATTTTCATGACACACATAAGAAGGGTCTGTTTCCTGAGATTGTGGGGGGTGCAGTTGTGATGGAGGGTAGGGGGGCTGTCTCCGGACCCCAGATAGGTTCTTTTCTCTCCCCTTAGCTTTGCTAAGCTGCCATTGAATGTTCTTAGTCTGGCAACAGCAACTTCACCTTCCTGGTTTTGGCTTCTATTTAATTTGGGATTAAGAGCAAACTAAAGTGAAGGGAGACGAGGTATCAAAATCATTATCTTGAATTCTGTAAGCCGAATGACTTCCTGCATGGTGAAGCATGCCAATTAAGGAAGATATAATCATGATTTTTTATTAGATTCTTTTTATTAGATTCTGGTTCTTTTAACTTCTTGAGGGTCTGATTGCTCCAAAGAAAGTAACTATAGTTTTGGAGTCTGGTTAAATGTTGAATAAAATTCTTATGCAAAATGGCAATTCTTCATGCAATCATGAAGACTTCTGTTGCCACTTACTTTTCTAATTGATATCCTCTAATTGAACTGATTTTTTCCATGAGAAATAAAAAGCCCCCTACCCCCCAGACAAAGTCTTGTTCTTGGCTCAGGCTGACTTCAAACTCAGTTGCCTCAGCCTCCTGCCTGTTAGATTGCAAGTATGTGCCACTGTTCCTGGAAAAAGATTTCTTTTGATGTTACTTTTGACTATTCCAGTGCAGACACTCAAACTGAAACTAGAGCTGGGCACCAGATATGTGTCTCTTACCCTAGATCCCACCATCCACTTTCTCTGCCCCTCCAGATGGGCAAGGAAAGTAGAGAAGGACAGATAACTGGGCTTGGAAATAAACACTGAAAATGAAGGCCCCTGACATCCAAGTGTTGGGATGGTGCCTTACACATGCTTAGTGTCCTGCTGCTCAACTAGGAAACTGTAGGGGGGTGTGGTTTTAATGGTTCGCTATTATTGAGGGACCTTGGCCCAGAACACAGCAAAGCAGGCCTTACTTTGCAGGATGAATACTATTTATCTGTGTTGGTAGTAGTCCATTAATGGGATTTCTGTTCTACACTCTCCAAGAGTAAAAGGGGCTCTGAGTCCTGTGGCCATCCCCCTGGTGTGTAGCATTGTGTCCTGGCCAGGTTACTTACGAATTCTCTCAGACCTTTCTCTGGAGCGCTCTGGTTCCCAGAATGCCACCATGATCCCCAGTGTGGTTGGAAGGCTCTCCTGGAACATTGCTTGATGTCCTCACAGCATTCATAAAGGGCTAGCCTCGAATGCCACTTTGATCTCCTGACTAGAGAGAGATGCTGTCACTCCTCACATATTTTGGCCTCGATCTGAAACCGGCTGCCCACTGCGCCCACTGAGGAGCCTCGCCTGCCGCCAGCGTCTCACGGAGGGCAGCTGCCCGGCTACCGCCTTCCACCCAACAGCTGCCTCGCCTTGCCACCGCCTCCCACACTACAGAATCGTTTGCCTCCCCATCACCCACCTGCTGGGCCTTGAGACCCCCACCCCAGGGCCAGGGGACTGTCATTCCACCTGCTTCCCTTCAGGCTGCTGCCTCTCTTCTCTGGCCACTGCTGGGCCACACTGCAGGTGTGGTGACCCTGGGGGCCCACAGCTTTCTTCAAGTGCTTTGTGTGTGCTTGGCAGGCCCCATGCCGCCTCATGGCTGGGTCTGTCTTTTCTATGGCTCACCACTAGCTACCACCCACCTGTTCAGGTAATGCAACTGGTTTTGCCTCACAAATCTTTTTCTTTCCCTGTCACTCTTTCCTGACGAAGCATACTATTACACTTCAAAGGACAGCAAAGAAGAGTGTTGTAGAACCCCACCGGAACTCTGCTAACCATGTTTGGGAACGAAAACAAATGCTCTGAAAAATATCAGCCACCAGAATAGTTTTGTTGGCACTGTGTTCACACGCATGGTCCCCACACCCCTAAGCTGGGTGTTTTGTTTTGTTTTGTTGTTTTGTTTTGCGGGGGGGAGGAGGCTTTTTCATGTTACATCCATATCTGTATTTATATCTTATTTGTTTCACTTCCAAGTGTATCATGGCAAATGTACAGATTTTTTTTTTTTTGTTAATAATGTGCTAGGATTTGCTAAAAAAGAAAACAACAAAAAAAAACTTTTGAGTTTGCCCTAGAATAAATGAAACTTAATTCCGTTTCTGGCCTTGATGTCGTCGAAGCAGCCCTTCCCTGACATGGCTCATCCCCCTCTGCCATCACAGCCAGCTGTGTCTGCAGAATCTAAGATGACCGTGGCAAGGGGCAAACACCTGAAATGTCCCCCAGACTGCCAACCTTGGAACACACCACTGTCGGGGCAGAGGGGGACTGGTACCCCATGGGTTCTGAACACCAGGAGTGCTTCATGGCTGGATCCCATCTCCTTATCTGAGCAGTGAGAATACTAATTTTCAAAACGTTGGCAAGGGAAAGAAAGTCTTAAAATCACTCCAGAGGTTCTAGGCACCAGGGACTCATGCCTATAATCCTAGCTACTCAGGAGGCTGAGATTTGAGGATACAGTTCAACACTAGCCCAGGCAGGAAAGTTCATGAGACTCTTATCTCCAATTAACCCACCCAAAAACCAGAAGTGGATGTGTGGCTCAAGGTGTAGAGCATTAACCTTGAACACAAAAGCTCAGGGACAGTACCCAGGCTCAGAATTCAAGCCCCAGGACTGGCACAAAAGAAAAATCTCTCCAGAGACTAGGCTAACAGCTGCCCAGCACAAGTGTGTTCTCAGTGCTCCTGTGCCTCTTCTGTTTGGCTGGCTTGATCCCGGGTGCAGTGTGGCTGGGCTCCTGGTGGTAATAGAGTCTTAGAGGTGAAGAAGGAATGACATCAGTGACTCTGCATCCATACTTCCTTAAGTTCTTTAAAAAAAGAAGTGATGGTACTGGAGTGGAGCTCAAGGGCTCATGCCTAGGCCCTATATCACTTAAGCTATACCTCCAGCATAGATTTTGCACTGGTAGTTTCTTTTTTTTTTTTTTTTTTTTTGGGGTCCGGTCATGGGCCCTGAACTCTGGGCCTGGGCGCTGTCCCTCAGCTCTTCAGCTCAAGGCTAGCGCTCTACCACTTGAGCCACAGTGCCACTTCTGGCTTTTTTTTTTCTTTTTGCTTATGTGGTGCTGAGGAATCGAACCCAGGGCCTCAGGCATGCAAGGCAAGCGCTCTACCACTGAGCTACCTTCCCAGCCCCTGGTAGTTTCTATATAGGGTCTTGTTTTATGTCTGGGCCCAACTGGGCTACAATTCTGTTTGTTTCCCTGTGTCACTAGAAATGACAGGCCTGCGCTGCTGAGCTGTGGTAAAAGGCATGTGTCACCGTGTACAGCCATTAGTAGATGTAGGATTATAAACTTCTTTTTGCCTGCGTTAGCCTCAAATTGTGATTCACCGATCTCCATCTTCCTAGTAATTAACATCACAGGCTTGAGCCACCCAACCTGGCTTTTTCTGATGGCTTTTTTTGGGGGGGGGGGTTGGGGGTTTTTTGGGGGGGAGGGAGGGTCTGGTCATGGAGCCTGAACTCTGGGCCTGGGTGCTGTCCCTCAGCTCTTCAGCTCAAGGCTAGCACTCTACCACTTGAGCCACAGTGCCACTTCCGCCTTTTTTTTTCTTTTTGCTTATGTGGTGCTGAGGAATCGAACCCAAGGCCTCAGGCATGCAAGGCAAGCGCTCTATGACTGAGCCACCTTCCCAGCCTTGGCTTTTTTTTTTTTTTTAATGATCATAAACCCAACATTTGCCACCTTGACCACTTTAAGTGTATGTCTCAGTGGTATTCAGTGCATTCCACTTGTACAACCATCGTCTTCATGATGTGGATGCTGGAGAACATCTCCAGAACTTGTCATTTAGTAAGACAAACTGCCTGAGAAGCACTACCTCCCTCGCCTCTACTACCACTATCTGTGTTCCTGAGTTTTAACTGTTCTACATTAGATGCCTCCTGCAGGTGCACTCAGAAATACCAGTATGTCTCCTGGCATTGTGTGGATGGAGCCCAGCATTTCTTTTTAATTAAATGTTGAGTTTTCCACTGTGCTTCATGACGCATCTTAAGTTCCTCTGTCCTGTGATTGTGTCCCATTCTGTGCCCTCCTCCACCTCATACCTTAGAGATGTGTTAACCACACAGCTAGTATCACACACATGCCCAGGTGTGAATCACTGCTGCACTTTTCCCCTTAGGCAAAGTCATTTCACATTGTGCCTCAGTCTTTGCATTTATAAATCAGGTTGGCGCCTACCTGAGAAGCTGTGCACTGTGGTGCCCAGCTATAATCAAGAGGCTGGGGCAGAAAGATCTATATAGCAAGATACTATCTTTAAAAATAATAAGGAAGTGGTAGAGCTACAGCTTTGAGCAGAAACAAAAGTTCAGCTTGAGTATAGGACACTGAGTTCGAGCCCTAGTACCTACACACAAAAGGGAAAAAAATTACCTGCCATCAGGATTAATAGAGATAATACAGGCATCCGGCAGGGTTGTTGGCTCCTGATGACTGAACTCAGGCTGGTGCTGTGATCTCTGCCCTGCCCCCCACGCCCAGCTTCAGTCAGAGTCCATTATCCCTTAGGAACTATGGAAAGCCCTGGGTGTGAGGGGAACAGGTTCAGGCAAAAGCTAGCAGTTCGCTTTTCTATATTTGGCTCCCTAACCCCTGGTACCATTGCCGGTTCTTACCCAAGGTATGCCAGGAACTGCCTGCCACTTTTAAGAAGATCACAGGCTGTGGGTGGGGGTACAGGACAGAGGCCTTCACTGGTTCTTGGCTCTTGGCCTGAAAGTGATTGCTCTAGGCCTTAGACAGCTTTCTGCTTACTTCTGCAGATGTCCTGGTTATCCTAGGACCCCTTGAATCTGCAGAGGACTCCAATCTCTGGCATAAGCAGACCCCTGTTCTTGACGTTGTTGGGTCAGTAACAGCTGGGGGCAAGTGACCACATTCCCACCATGTGTGAGATGTTTTACTGCTGTCAAAGTCTCATCTGCAGAGTCTTGACAGTTTTTGACACCAATCCTGAGATGCAGATAAGAGAGCTGCAGGTGAGAAAACAGAGGCACAGAAACTGCCACTGCTGGACTATGACAAATGGATTTGGGGCCTGGCTCTGTCTTGCTGGGCAGTCTCACAAAGCTCCTGTGACCTCTTCCCTTTCCCTGAGCCTACCCTGCTGCTGTCTTTGGAGCACATGTCAGGACTGAGCGGGGCTTACAGAGCAGACCCGAGCCCCAGCCCCAGAATGACCACTCCAGGAGCCCCGGTGGCCCTGGACACACACATGTAATTCTAACTGGTGCCATTGCCACTGCTACTGCAGCACTTCTGATCTGAGACAAAACCCTCAGGGAGCATTTTGTTTAAAGCATGACCGTGGTTTTACTCCCAAGCTTTGGGTCAGCCCCTAGACAAATTGTGGCCCTTAGGAACATCAGCCGTAGCAACGCCTGCCAGGCCCAACACATCAAAAGACTGTTGACCAGCTAATAAAGGTAAAGTGGACACCGTGTCAGAGGAAATGAGTTTCTTGGGCAAAGAAGTACCTAAGTCCCCCTGGGCACAGAGCTCACTGCTCAGCTCAAACCTACCCAGCCTCCCTGGCCCTTTCCAGTACTCATTAGCTCACTGCTCTGCCCCCACACAAGAGCAGACAAAGGTCTTGTGAACAGGCATCTAGTTCCCAATTATGTATTGAAAGGCATTGAACTCTGTCCACCTGTGCACTCCTCAGATGGGCCCTGGAAGTGCTTCCTGTGGGGACCTCTAGGGCAGTTCACGTCCAGGCCAGGATTGCCCATCTGAGTGCCTCAGTCTCAGAGGGAATTCACCAGGCAACCAAGAGATGAGACAGAGGATAATGCCATCTCCTACTACTCAGGCTCTGTGCCGGTGTGGCCTCTGTCCCCACAAGGGGCCCTGAGAGGTGACTAAAGCCAGCATCTATCTGATATGCATGTCCTGGCCCCTAGACACACCATGCTTCAGTATCCAGTAGAGAGGACAGCTGTGGCTGCCTGCTGCCAGGCCCTGTTCCAGTGCTTTACTGGGCTATCTGCGAATAGCCTGAGGTAAGTCTCATGATCATGTGACTAGGCACAATAAGGATGAGTCACTTGCATAGGGTCACATAGATAATAAGAGGCAGAGCTGAGATGTGATGGTAGGAAGTCCAGCTCTGGAAAGAAGCAGAGTCTTACCTCCTTCCATTCTCTGGGCTTGTGTTCCATTTCTTTTTGGGGTTGGGGGATGGAGGGTGGTCGTGGGGCCTAAACTCTGGGTCTGGGCACTGTCCCTCAGCTCTTCAGCTCAAGGCTCGCGCTCTACCACTTGAGCCACAGTGCCACTTCTGGCTTTTTTCTTTTTGCTTATGTGATGCTGAGGAATCGAACCCAGGGCCTCATGCATGCAAGGCAAGCGCTCTAACCCTGAGCCACCTTCCCAGCCCCTTGTGTTCCATTTCTATCCCCTGACTCTTACAAGTTCCTGTGGGTTCTGCCTGGCTATAGGTCAGATGTGTGAATGTTTACATCCCATATAAACATGTTCATGTGGGGTCAACACTCACACATCATCCCTGGAGAACTGCTCATGGGACTTGGGAAGAGGGAAGCACCCTGTTGGTTTGGAAGAGCAGGGAATTAGAAGCAGATGTTTCTGCTTTGCAGTTTCCATGGTAGGTTCATGGATGTTCATTTTATTGCAGCCTGTAATAAGCATACTATGTTTTCTTCTGTAATATCAAGTATTTCATTTTGGGGTTGTTTTTTTTTAGTTTGTGAGAACAGAGGCAGGCATGATACTTACCCCCTGTAATCCCAGCAGCTGGGGAAGTGAAAATAGGAAGATCACAGTCAGAAGTCAGCCCCAAGAAAGACATGAAAGCCCTTCTGAAAAAATAGCTGTAGCAAAAAAGATTGGCAGCATGAGAGTACCAGTCAAGCCAGCAAGAGGCCATTAGTTCAAATCCATAGCACCAAAGAAAACCAAAGATGTTAATTTGAGATCCTGTAGAGAATAACAGACCACTGAGAATATGTCTGCAAACCCCATGTTCCAAATGCTATCCTACATGAGACACCACCGCCACTGTGCTAACAGATCTGTGTCCCAGAGGGCAACCAGGGCCCTTTCCATGACAGCCCT